CATTTCATAATTTCATTATCTGAGGGTTAATGCTGAAAGAAAAATATTTTCGATTAGAAAGATTTTATTTTCATCCTTTCACAGGGACTTAACTCGTCCGTTATATAAAAGAGATATTACAATTCTAAGAGATCTGACACAATTACGTAATAAAATTCTTCAGGCAATCAAGCGCCAGAAAAACATGCAAAATTCACACATTCTGACTCGCTCTTACATTGTAATAAATTAAGACATAATTCTGACCTCAAGCTTACTTATGTTACAATACTTCTGGACATCCAATAAAAAATGCACACACGCACGCTACGTCAATAAGTCATTTAAAAATACAAGGGATTGAATTTTATAATTTAATGAAAAATAATGCATTTTTATTCTACCCAAATGAATATATAACTAACTTCAAAACCATTTACGTGTTAGGCGATAATGTGTAGAAACAAAAATATAATGGGGTGAAGATTTTTCAGCAATTATGGCCGTGTGATAACTAGTAGAATGATGTAACTACACGCACTTGTTTTGAAGTTGAAAAGTAGGTCTTTTAATAATTCACATCGATTAGCTTTATGTAATGAGAAATGTAAAGTAGTACAATGCTTGTTCAAACAAAATGATCTGTACATGAACGGTAAAATGAAGTGAAAAAAATCCAGTTGCAAGGTGAAAATTAATGATGTTTACACACTAAACGATGAGCGATGACCTACAACTAACATGGTCTGGCAAGACGTTGCCTACTTCTTAAAGTATTCAATAACCGAAGACTAGATTTCCGGGCTATGTTCTGTACATTACATAGTAGCAAAAATAGAATGGTAGAGCGACTACTCAGCAACTACGAGTCAGTGGCAAGCACCTTTTTCAGATAGCTTAGTTATACAAGAAAAATGCGAAGGCCTTCGAGTTAGCAAGTTCCAACGTTCACACAATATGTACATTAGATTTCATATCATACACCTTAAAAAAAACAACTATGAGCTTGAGATTTATCGCATACCGCCTTTTTTTCTGCGACTGTGAAATTCAAGACGTCAAAGAATCAAACCCACGTGGTCACTAATTCATATATAAGAATCCTCATTTCACGGCCCAATGTATTCAAAGCAGCTAGTTTTCATAACTAGGACCGAACTTCACTGCAGAGAGAAGTGTAAGTTAAAGGATAGGTGACAAGTTAGCATTATCCATAGTTGAGTGGATTAATGAACCTGGAGAAAGAAAGTGAAACATTTATTCGTGGCGATTAATAATTAATCCTGGATGCCTACAATACAGACATCATCAAGCTAAAACTGTCATTGTAATAGACACACACGTCAGCTGAACACAGTTCATCTAACTCTAAATTTCAAGTTTCATGCGTCACCATAAAATGTTTAGAAATTTAATCGCCCCCTTCCGATAATAAGCCGTTATCTTTAACAGAAAAGATAATATCCTTCATTTCAAAGCCACAATGTAATTGGTGAGCTCATGAAATGGTGAGTAATATTTTTAAATGTACAAGAATTAAAGCTCACAAACTCGGTCCCTTTCAGAAACCTCGTGATTTTAAGAAATGATATACGTGTATTATTTTAAATGCTGATCATTACATGTACTGTACAGAGTAGGAACAAGTGCCATGCTCTGTACACGACCGGCTTCAGGTTGCCACGACAGACGCTTCTCAGCTGCGCTTATTTAAATGCCTTCATGTGCCATATGATAAGTGATTACTATTAAAATGAAATTAGTTTTGATGATTTTTAAATTTAATGTAGAAATGAATGTTTTTGCAAAATTGCAGTGGAATTAAAATTTTGAAAACCACAGAACTAGTTACTGGGTTGTTACGTAATCATTATAAAAATGAAATTGGTGTTGACGATTTATAAATTAATGAAGAAATGAATGTTCTCCTCGGAAAATTACAGTGGAACTGTGACAAAAATATATGACTAATGTCTCTTCAACACAAAAAAGTCGAATTCTGAGTTAATTGAAGAAAACTGATGAGCGAATACAGCCTATTTTCCATTACAGATTTGAAATATTGCCCGAAAGCTCAAATCAAATTATGAAATATATAAGTTTGAAATGAAAAATTGAATATTTTTTGTACATACGGCACTTGATGACGGACAATAAGCGCTATGAGCGAGCGACCAGCAGCTCCCCTGCCTCGTGCTGTCCGATAATGTAAGCACTCGGAAAAATGATTATGTCACATTGTCCAAATTGTGACACGCTTCCTGCACATGGCACTGATACTACCCACTATTACCGGGCAATAGTGTGTCTGGATGACCCACACAGTGTCAGAAGTGCATCGCAATTTGTACAAAGTGTCACGCGTTTCTCTGAGTGAGAAAGCAGCAGCAATAAGCGCTCTTGACGCGCTTGCTCAAGCCGCGTTCCAAATTTCAATCCGAAACTTTTTATACTTTGAATTACACATTCCGACACTTTTTTACAGTCATTTTACAAATTAATGAAACGTGGAATGCAGGCGTGAAATTTTTTTATATAAGCCATTTAATTATAACCTTAGTCTTTTTCTTAATTGAAAAATTTGAATCTCACGGTGATGGAATGAAGATTTTATGTATAATTTTAGAGAAATTTAGCGCTAATTAAAACGTAACTGAATCAACACAAAGGAATATACTATAGTTCTAAAACAAAATGAAACGTGGTTTTTTGTGATGAAAATTAATTTAAATGGAATAATTGACAGATATGCATTTATAAATATAGAAAGCGAAATATAATATAGAAAGTAAACAAGACTTTGAAATTTATCGTAATAAGAGCAAATTATTGAATTATTTAATTAACACGTTAATTGATTGCTAGCAGCAGTCGGAATGATGTTTGGATCGCGCAGAGCAACGGCGCGCCTCCCGAGCGCAGATTCCTGCGCAGAGCGCAGACTGCGGCAACGCTGAACTTGGTGGATTGAGAGGCCGTGGTGTTATAGAACTATTCGGAAATTGATATATCAAAAACACCAAATCAAAGTAAGAGGCCGTGGTGTTATAGAACTATTCGGAAATTGATATATCAAAAATACCAAATCCAAGTAAGAGGCCGTGGTGTTATAGAACTATTCAGGAAGTGATATCAAAAGCAATAAATCCAAGTATTTGGAATGGTTATAACAATTTTTCAAGCAAATTTTGAAGTTATGAATTTATTCATAACTTCAAATAAATATACCAATATAACAAAGCTGAAGTTTGGATCGTCAGCTAGTTTTTTGGACGAAATAGCAACTCATTGATTAATATATGATTATGGTATGGTAATAGCATTAATATGGTTTTGGGTCTGAAATAATGCGGTAAAAGTTTATTCAACATAAATTATGTTAACAGTTTTCCTCTCATCCACCAAGTACCAACACAGCCACATCTGGCCGAGGAACGTGAACCCATCTTAGACTTTAAAGGAATATTTGACATCCGAACAACCTCCTAATGTTAACAAATGCTAGCACTCACGAATACGTAGACTAACTGGAAAAATTTGATGAAAATATCAATATATAAATATCAAAATATAAAAATTTGATGAAAAAACATCGTTTCAGAAGTACATGAGATGTAGTGCAACTATTATCCATGCAAAAAATTATGAATTAATACAGTAAAATATTTAAACGAACATTCAAACGCCAAACTTTAAGAAAATTCAAGAGTTAAGAGCACTGAAACTTCTGCGTGAAGGCAAATGCAAACAATGATATGTGGTGTTTAGGCGAAAATGCAAGGCACAATAAATGAAAGAATAAAAAGATTGTAATAGAGACAAATAATGCGCAAGACCATACAGAGAAAGCAATGCAATAGTAGAAAATATTATCTTAGTTTGAAGTATGACGGAATCAGAATGCAGCTAAAATAATGTTTCACGTTAAATGTAATTATCCTTATATTATTATGGACACAGGACACTTGTATATTTTTAATTATTACAGATAATGCACACATATACAAACATATTCACAAGGTAATTTATCTTATTACACTCACATAAATGTGGACTTGCTACAACGAGCAACAAGTAGACAATACATTAACGCTAACACACAAAATAGAAGCCATTTTTTTGGCTACATAATTAGAGTGAAAAAAAAAAACAATTATATACCCGATATCCAAATGGATAAAAGATAATCCAATTCATTCCTAAGTGCAACTTTTGTTTAAAAAACGCTACAAAAATCGCAAGGAAGGCAACCAAAGCAGCACGACACGTCTTTTACAGATGGCTTTAATAATAATTATTTGTTACTAATTAGACTTCGTTAAAACCTGGTGATGGACCAATTAAAATATTTACATGGTTACAATGCATTTTACACAATTTAAATGTTACTTTAAATATCAATAACATACATCCTTCCTTCAACACAGAGCCCAACTCCCTGTTCACTTATTATCGTATTCACGTAAAAATGAGCTTGATATTTTCAAATAATTTCTGAAATAAATTCTTTAATCAACTCAGAAATATTTTATTTATACAGAGGTATAAAATTACTAGGTACGTTATACTGTTGCTAATACTGACCACAAGTCAAACCTGCTGCACACGAATAATTAGCGCTCTGCTGCGAAGTGGATATCAGGTTAATGTTCATAAATTGGTAGCCAATGCAGCATGAGAACGTATTTATTATAAAGCATTCATTAAAAATGCTTATCACTGTAGAAACTCTGCCTTTGTCTCGCAGGTATCACCTAGGAAGGTCACAGCAACTGGCAGTTCAGATAGCGGAAGGAATTTGGTTGAAAAGTCGTGACACTGTCTCGTCGCCCGGTGACGCTGACACTCTGATGAGCATGGTTGAACTAATATAAGGTTGAACTAGTGTAAGGTTGAACTAGTATAAGGTTGACACATGAGAAGCTCATTTTCGCGGATGGAGCTTGTTGTTCGCCTGTGATGAACGGGGAATTAACCGATTACCGACGGGCATTAACCATTAACCAATCACCGAAATGCAATCAAACCAGTCAACCAATCCGTCATGGGAATGATGGGTTAGATTACGTTTCTCGATCACAGTGCGGCAACAAGAAAGCTGAACTGAAAGGTGGAACTTCTCGTGGGTCTACCTTGTTTGGGTCTATGTGGCTCTACCGTGAGTCTACGTGGGTCAATCAGCATGGTGGAACTCACCATGCTGATGAGTACTGCCACGACACTGACGCACTTCTAATGGCCCTTTCTGATGAGAACTGCCACGACACGAACTTTTGTAGTGGTTGTAAGAGAAGGGAAGACAAGATAGTTATACAATTTTACACAGTTGTAAACACAAAATTAGAATAAATTTAAGAGATCATTCAACTTATCAATATTGATGTCGTGAGATTGCAATTTAAACGCCAAAGGCTTCACTGAAATTAATTACGCTGACAAATAAATTTAAAGTGTTGATTCTAAGGCAGAGTCGATATTCTCGAGAGCGACAGCGGTGGTGGGGGTGGACGAGTCCTGCGTCGGTGCTGAATAGTTGGCCGCTTCCTGCAGTCTCAGCAGCATGTTGAACTGGAAGAAATATGACGGTAATATACGGCATAAACGGGAGAATATACGGCATAAACGGGACAATATACGGCATAAACAGGAGAATATACGGCAAAAACGGGAGGAATTTTTATGGAAATACGGCAAAAACCGGAGGAATTATTATGGAAATACGGAATAAACGGGAGGAATTATTATGGGAATACGACATAAACGGAATATAGCGGTATGATTGGAAGATTACCTTGGGCCTGGAAAATTACTTAATGACCTGGTAAGGACGTCACGATTGGGGATTTACATTATGCATGAGAAAATAATTCATGACTCTGAAAATTAATTATGAATTCAAAAATACGTGATGATAAATAATTTTATGACATAACAAGCATAATGACATGAGATAACGCATAAGGCAACAGACCAGTACAAATGTGAGATAATACATATGCCCCTTAACTATTAACACTGTAAGATAATGCACCTGACCAGCAGCCATGCAATATGACTATAATAATGCAATACGAATGAATGTAACGCTACTCACCCTTAATAATGCAAGATTATACGAGTATAATATATAAAGCTGTACACCCTTAACAATGCAATAATATACGCGTATAATGCATAATCCTACCCACCCATAATAAAGCAGGATTATACGCGTATACTAATACATAACGCTATGCACCCTTAATAATGTAAGATAGTAATATACGCGTACATAATACATAAAGCTACTCACCCTTAATAATGTAATAAGATCCGCGTATAATACATAACGCAATGCACCCTTAATAATGTAATAATATACGGTTATAATACATGAAGTCATTGACTATCAACAATGTAATAATATACAAGTCATTGACTATTAACAATGTAATAATATACGGTTATAATACATGAAAGCCTCAACTATTAACAACATAAGATAAGGCAACCCACAAGAGGGTCAGCGTCCTGGTCGGCATCGTGTTTGGCGTCAGGGGCGCCGGGCGTGAGGGCGGTCGCTTGGTCGTAGCCGACGTCCGAGGGAAGCAGCGGCGTCAACGCAGAGGCCCTCGTGTGGGAGCTCTCCGGCCACGGGTACGTCTCCAGCAGCCACGCGCACGGGTCCTGGGACAGAGAAATGGTGAGGGCACGTCTCTAGCAGCCACGCACACGGGTCCTGGGTCAGAGAAATGGTGAGGGTACGTCTCTAGCAGCCTCGCGCACGGATCCCGAGATAAAGGAATGGTGAGAGATCAGAGGGGTGACCACGCAGCAACGCGCACGCATCTCCTATGAACTCAGTAATAACCGGTCAATACACATCACTGGTAAGAATTTACTTGAACCTGATTAGCTTGGGTTCAATCTAGACCCTGAAAAATTTGGTATTGGCCAAGTTTACGTACAATAAATGCCAAGACAAAATCTCAGAAACAAATATACGGATGCAAGTATGGCACAAAGTTCTATTGAATCAACGTATACAGCACGTCATCGTAGATCTAGTAACTTAAATTAGTTGCTGATGGTGTGATATATGCGAACACCGGTAAAAACCATGTGTAGGGATAGCTATAAAACAGCTGACAGTAGCATTCCCTGCAGTCCATTTCGTTAGTCAGTGAGACACTAGATTTACATACTTGTTTTGATTCCGACCTCGCTGCATTATAACCGTCAGCTTGTTTCTGATGACATTTTTGTCCCAGTTTACTATCAATTGAAATTCACACAACGAAAATATTATTGGTTTGATTCTGTACTATCAAGTCTCGGATGAGTATAATATTTACAGTCAAGCTGGTGTACTTTTTCATTCTGTATTCATCAGAAAATTTGTATCAGTTTTTACAAATTTTTTGGCCTACTCGAGGTAAGAAATAGAACGAATTATTACCATTGCTAGAGGGTTTTAGTAGAACGGGTAATGATTCCCCTTCATCCTATCAAATATTAGGAGCCGATCTCTTGGTATAGTTCAAGACATATATAAAATTACGAATTCAAATAGGATTATCGAATTGTTCCTAACACCACAATCCATTTCTTCAGGTACCTCCTAACACCACAATTAATTTCTACAGGTACCTCCCAGGACCACAATTTATTTCTTAGGACCACACAATTTAGGACCACACAAATGTAGGACCACACAATTTCCCCAGTACCACAATTTATATCTACAAGTACCTCCTAGGACCACAATTTATTTCTACAGGTACCTCCCAGGACCACAATTTACTTCTACAGGTACCTCCCAGACCACAATTTATTTCTACAGGTACCTCCCAGACCACAATTTATTTCTACAGGTACCTCCCAGACCACAATTTATTTCTACAGGTACCTCCCACGACCACAATTTATATCTACAGGTACCTCCCAGCACTACAATTTATTTCTACAAGTACTAATTTATTTCTACAGATTCTACGAACTGACGATGGAGCTGGTCTCCGAAACGTTTTCTATAAAGATATGAATTTTTGAGGACTTTTCCTTGCTTTTAAATTCTTGGTTTTTTCTACAGGTACCTCCTAGGACCACAATTTATTTCTACAAATACCTCCCACGACCACAATTTATTTTTACTGGTACCTCCCACGATGTCCTTTTGCCGTAAAGTTGCAGTCCCTCCCTAACAGCCTCCTGCAGGTACGGGATGAGTGAATAGTTCCACAAGTCCGTGAACCAAACCTGCGAGTCCTCCACGCTGCCGGGACATGACAGGAACAACCGCGGGCCTGTGCGAGCAATACAAGATAAATAAAAATATTCCACGTAATTACATTGGAATTGCATGTATAATCTTAGTTCTAGTCAAGTCCGTCCGCGATCCGAGTAATTAAATGGAGTTACGGAATTGTATTACGCGCACAATGAAATATTTTCTTAAATAATAAATTTTATAAAATATATTAAACCAGAGGAGAAACGATGCAATTACACGGGATATGAGGAGATATTGGTAATTAATTAAATATTAATTAAATCAAAAATGATAAATTAAATAAATACCTACTTATTAAATAATGTTATATGGAAAATTTCTAATCTTTTCAATTAGAGAATCCTAAGTATTATATAGAGAGAAACCTAAAAATTTTTGACTTAGAGAATCCTAAGATATATTCTAATTCGAGAATGGTAAGCAATATTTTTGAAAGAGAATCCTAAGAAATATTCTAATTACAGAATCCGAGGAAATATTTGAAAGTCAGAGTACGATTATAGCAATTAGATGAAAATATCACTACAAAATTAGAATACCATTACATTTTGCTCACCTAAAGTAACATCAGAAGAAGAATGAGTTTCTAAGAACTTGTTAATGTGAGTCCAGCATTTAGGCAGCCAGTCCAGGACATGTTGCAGACGAGGTAGTCTTGTGCCAGCCTCCACTTCAGCGTGCGTGAGACGACGACGAACCACGCGACTGAGAACCCCCTTGACAGGCTCCATGTGATTCGCCATCAGAACCCATCTGGAATTAAAAAAACATTTCATTTATAAGATAGCCCTGAACAAAAATCCCTTTTTAAAATTCGTTGCAATGGAACAATATAGCCTTATGATTTGGCAACAAAACCCATCTGAGTTTCAAACAAAAAGTTAATTTATAAGTTCATCCTGAAAAAAATCCGCTTATAAAATTCGTTGCAATGGACCAATATAGCTTTATGATTTGGCATTAAAATTCACCTGAATGCAAATCAAAGGTAAATATTCAAGAATTTTCTGAAAAAATCCAGTGTTGGAATTCGATGCAATAGAAAAATATAGTTTGATTATTGTCATCAGAACCCACATAAATTCAAATAAAGGGTTAATTTTCACGACAGTTCTGAAAAAATTCATGATTATAAATTCGTTGCAGTGGAACATATAACCATATTTCTAGTCTGCGCGGTGCATGATGTCCATAATTATTCTACCATAATTCAAAAATTAGTCGAAGAAATTTTACGTAGCGTAGCGTAAAAATTTTACCTGAAGTTATGATGTAGTTGTAAGTTTGTAGTGGAACACGACGTAGCCTGGTTCATGGTGCCGATGATATAAGGACATTGCGTGTATTTTGCACTTAGAAAGCCGTTGAAAACGTCGGTCAGGGCGCCAGCGTGATGAAGGTTATCGAGGATTATGACCAGCGGGAGGTCATTGTTGGTGTTCTCGCATTGTTCGCTAATGTGAGATAAGTAGGAGCCCAAGTCCTTGCTGTTTTCTGGGTCCACACTTTAAGGTGAGAGGGAAAAAGAATTATTTCAGTGAGAGTGACGCTGCGTCTCATTATGCGTCACTGACGCATAATGCTGAGTAAGAATTTATATTTAAATATGGAAACACATACATCAATGCGAGAATATCCCGAAAGCCTAGAGCGCAGAGCCGAGATGATACCTTTGAATATCACGAATTTAGCACAAAACTAGTCAGAAATTTATTCTGTATAGTTCAAGAAACATGAATGAGCTCGTTACCATTATATCCTTAGAAGTAACTAAATTACATCTCAAGCACACAAATGACAATAACAATCCAGTTTATTTCAAACAATAATTTTAAACCTTGTTATGTCAGTGACAAATAACTTGATAATGAACGAACACGCACTAAAAGAGCTGCTAAAAATTTTCTAAATATAATGAAGGAAATTATTGGACTTTTTAGCGCATTTTCTCATTTATGGAAAAAATGCACTATTGTGCGCGCCATGTCCGTCCGTCCGTCTGTCTGTCCGTCAGTTCGTGACCTCAAGTTTTCGTCGAGGAGAAAATGCGCTCTCTGTCACTCACTGCAGTGAGTACTGAGTTATATTTTTTTACTCACTTGAAGGTGGCCACGCTGCCAGGAGTAGGGTCCTTGCCGAGTCTGCTGACCAAAAACTCTGCAAGTTTTTGAGCGAGGTATGTTTTCCCGGTGCCTGGCGGTCCACATAAAATAATTCGTCGGTGTTCAGTTAAAAGAGACACGTATCTCTGAATAATGGATTTCGGTATCAACGTTTCGAACGCGAGAGCGTCGACCGCGTTGGTAGAAGCTCCTCTCAGAACAATCTTTATGTTCTGAACTTCTCCTACTAGGTATCCGCAAGGCAGCAGCTCCGGTAAATTGACTTCCTTGCTTCGGATGGCCTCCCCAAGATGATAACTAACTACAGAGTCTGAGCTCAAGCCTAACCCAGAAGTAGGGTCAACTCTTAGTAAATATTCTTTGAAAATTCGTTTAACAAGCCCGTCGAGAATGTCCCATTTACTTTTGTTGCTGATAGATATCGCCCCAATGACGCATTCGCTCGTACTGCAGCCATCCACAGGTTGAATGTATTTACTATAATCGCCGTGACATCCCAGAAACACTGCAATGTTCACTTTTTTGCCATCTTTGTCCAACGGATGCAACAGCAACAAGTCCCCAGCGTCAGGTAAAGCTATTGTATCATCTATTAAACTACTGAGTCTTGGACCACAAGGTTCAGATGTCGGTAATGAACTTTGAGACGACGTAAGGCTTTTAGACGCTACTATTTTCTGCAATCTCTCGTTATCCTGCTTGAGCGAAATCATTTCACATCGCATCTTTGTAATGGTTTCCTTTAAAGACTCGAGTTGGTGAGCAGAAGTCAGAGCTTCGAGTCTGATGTCAGTAAGCGCCATGTCTTGTTCTCGTAGCTGTTCCTCTAGCATCTCAACTTCCTCTGGATCGACGTACTCGTGGCTGCTGAAATGATAGAAAATTAAATATAATTAAATGAAATTCTAGGAATAATTCAATAAAGTGCTCTCAAAATGTGAGCCTAAATTGATGGGTCAATTATTGTAAAAAATATCCTCTCGTGTTGCGTCAACTTGACAACATAGACTTTATTTTAGTGGCAATATATTTTAATTGAACAAAAGAAATCTTTACCTTATTATGATATATCAGAAAAAATGCTCATCAGATATTTTATTCTCTCTAGAGCAAGAAAGAACCATACTAGATACAACTTAATTTAACGTTATGAAATATCAAATTTAATTTAAATAACTTTGAGGTGCTGCGAATCTCTGTTGACAAGTAAAATAAAATCAAATTGGAAGACCCGTATAGACCGGCTTTTGCTCTGCATAGCAATTTAAATGAAATTTACGCAGATGGAACAATGTCAAATAATAATTAAATTATAGACTAACTTAGACGAGTGTCGGTTGCTGCCATTCTTGGTTTTGGATCCGTTCCGGCAAGTGAGAGGAGAGTTTGGAACCGAACAACTTTCCCGTCTGGATTCCAAATCAGAAGCAGATTCCCTGCGTTCGACAGTGCCGTTGGACTGCGACCCTGTGGAGGTGATGCTAGCTTCTTTTACCAGGTGACCGTTTCCAGCGCTCGACTTCTTGTGGCCTCGAGAAAAAGCTTTCGTAAACGATGACCTCAACTGCAAGAGGAAGAATTATTATTAATTATTAAATTCATATATTATCATTTTATAAGGAATTTTGCTAGTTTGTACGGAATTTTTGTAGTTTGTTCGGAATAGTTTATAATGAAATTTGATAGCATTAGTTTGTTAGCAATTTGTTAGTATATTAAGAATTTTGTTAGTTTATTAGGAATTTTGTTAGTTCAGCTAGAATTTTGTTAGGCTAGTAAGAATTTTGTTTGTTTATTAGAAAGTTTGCTGTTTGATTAGGAATTTTGTTAGTCTTTTAGAAATTTTGCTAGTTTATAGGGAAGTTTGTTGGTTTATTAACATTTTTATTAGTTTATTATGAATTTTCCTGGTTTATTATGAATTTTGATGGTTTATCAATAATCTTGGAAGGTTCGTAGGAGTTTCGTTGGTTTATTAAGAATTTTGTAAGCCTATTATGCAGGATCAGAAACGGACGAAAGAAGTGATCATGCGTGACATAAGCGCAATCGTTGAATATTGAAACCAGACCATCGTAGAGTTTAGAATAACATTATTCAAATTTTGGAAATATTTCTCAAAAAAAAAATTATACAGCATCGTTTAACCTGATAACCATCCTCTCGGAAGTATTTATTTTGGACTAAAGAGGAAAATTCGATTGTCATAATGTTTTATTTCTGATATAACAGGCGCTGCCATTCCCTTTCCTTATTCGCCGAACATCAACTCGAAAAATTTTGCACTGCATTTAAATACATCGTCATAGAGGAGTACATAATATCTAGCGTCCAAAGTACGAATGTAAAATAGAGTGCACATATTCACCAAAACTAGGTACTCGTTTAAATATTGTTCAAAATTTTCAAATAAGTCCAAGTTCAAATCTTCGATCTTGACTGTAAGACTCACCCATCCCTTCTTCTTGCCGGAGCCAGTGAACGAAGAGGACTTTCCGCTGTCGCTTCGCTCCTGTCCGGAAGTATGGGAAGTTGCGGAACACGCGGACGACAAACTGGACACGGACTCCATTGACGTACCTCGCACCAGCTGCCCACCTACGAAACAACCAAAATAAGCACACAAAGTCCCAAAAAAAAAAATTACCAGTGAATACAAAAAAAATCTTTGGTAAAATTCCAAAAACATTACCAGTGAGTATAGTGTACAAAAAATCGAATATATCATTTCTAGCAACGAAAAAAATGGCCGAGCAACGAAAAATGAGCCTGAGTCACGGCCATGAAATTCATATCAATACAAGTAACATTTACTTGCAATTAAAAAGTATGAAATTCGCTCTCAAAAAAATGCGCTGTTAATAATGAAAATTGCGCATTCTTATAAATGACATTGGAAGCACATATTTAAAAAAATTTTAAGAGCTACCTAAGGCAATAGGCCACGCAAATAATAATTACACGATACACAAAATATTTTTGCAAAAAGAACATAATAAATATCATCAATTTTTATTCACCATATCTCCACAAATATAAACACAGATTTTGCGACAATTAACAAACAATTTCAACCTAAATACTAAAAAATCATGTCAAAGAAAATACCATGTCTCTACAGTCCTTAAAAATATCTTCGAAGACAGAAATACTGACGATTTTTGTAGTTCATAAATTTGGTGAAAGTGACCATGACTACGGTATAGTTCGCGGACGTGAAAGTGTTGTTTAGGTTTACTAAAACTTCATTCGACTGAAAATGATAGACTGTGAAAAGAATGGGAACTTTGGGGATGATTAAAGAGGTTCAGAAGACGACACCAAAGCAATGAAAATATTCAGTGTAGGAGTTTTGTTAATGGTGAAAGAAGCGTTTTGATAAGCAAAAAAGATCGGCAAAGAGTTCAATTTTATTGTAAGCGTGGAGGGAAGCAAGAGGATGAAACATGAATCAACATTCAATTTAAAATAACAACAGATTTCATTAATATGTAAGTTGCTGTTTTTCGAGACTCACAATTGAAGAAAAGAATAAAATAACTAAAATGCTTTCGATTGTTATGGAGTATTTATTGCAAGATATCTCCGGTGGAACAGGAAGATTCGAAGGAGTTAAAGACCAAGATAATGCTAGGGTGCAATCAGATACTAGATGAATAATCTTTTCTAAATTTAGTGAACTATAGGAGTTGTTTCTCTATTTAAGCTCTAAATTAAATAATAATGCATTTAAAAAGAAGCAAATGTACGTTAAACAAACCATGGACAAGACTTTAAGTTTGAGTAATTAAAACGATAATATTGAAAAGGGGGTTCAATTACGACACTACAAAATGAAAAGGAATTTATGCTATTTAGAGTTACGTAAACAGAGGTAATTAAGTAAAGGATCTCACCATTCCTAATATCCCTGCTACCCGTATTAGCTGAACCATTGCTACCGGGCAGAGAGGTAATCACGTTACCATTGGTATGACCCGTCTCATTGGTGACAGAGGATTCAGTTTTGACTGCCACCAAATGGTTACGAACACCAAGTGCAGGAGAGGAAACATCACAGAAGCCATGTGAGGTAGGCAAGGAGGGGTTAATATTGGACTCAGATGCGTCCGTCGACACATGGTAAGGTGACACGTATGGATCAGCTGGGGAAACGTCAAACGATGCATTGTTTAGGACAGTGCCTGTGAAGGTATGGCGTCTAGCGGCATCAACAACGAAAGGCGTGATGTAAGCAGAGGGACATTGCTCAGGTCTGCTGTTAGAGTTTGCATCGACTTTTTGATTTGCAATTAAAGCAGGGTTTTCCAGAGGACTAATGGTGGGTCCTGATAAACTCTGTTTAGGCATGGAATTGCCATTGTTAATAACTCCTTTAGGGAGGATATGGCTGCAGTGAAAAGGAGATATTGGAGGGGAGGAAGAGTTAGGGTTATTATGCTGAGGACCATTACGGGGTGAGTTTAGAGGGGAAGGGTGAGGCGACGGATGAGGCGAGCAGGCAGAAGTGGATGATGATGGTTTTGTTGGTTGACACACTGATGATGAACACGAAGAAGCAGCGTTGGGTGAGCACGGATGAAGCTGAGGCTTAGCCAAAATTTGAGGAATGCCATCATTTTTTGACAGCGTATAGAGACCGTTCTCATGAGCATGAGTGTGTAGATGGTTTGACAGCAAGTGTTGCGACGGTAAACTTTGTCTATTCAGTGGAATGATTGGCTTGTCTGGAGAAGCTTGAGTGAAAGATTTCGATTGGTCATCGGGCAAAGGCTTCTCTGAAATATCAGCCAATGTGTGATGACTTGATTGTTGGTGACGAGAAGTTTTGGATGGAGTTTTGTGAAGTGAATGTTGAGATTTTGCAGAGTCAGAAGACATACTCTGAATGCAGGCTGCTGTGAGGCCAGCATCAATGCTCTGCTGTCGCAAGGCCTCGATAGTTTTACGGAGTTCCAAAAGTTCCGAATCCTGAAATAGAAGAAATTACAGAACTCACATATGATTAACATCGTAACAGAGCCCTGATTGTGAAACTGGATTTAGACTTTTATCAATAAAATTTTATTATAATTATAAAAAATTCTAGATAGTTATGCCGAAATATGATATTTGTGGTTTTTGAATCAGTAATAAAATTTTATTGATTGAATACTTTCAGTGCAAATGGTATTTGAACTCTAAACTCTTCTAAAACCGGTAAATTAAAAATAATCCATCTATAAATAAGAAACTACATTTAACGTTACTTTGCAACGGATTTTCAGATAAAATAAGTTTTTCATCACAACGCACAACAAAAATCGCTGGCATTTCCCCACAAACCATGTTACCATTTATCTTTACTTCATGGCAGTAAATACGCATATCTCCCGTATATAGACTTTTTCAAGACATGCTCTCATCCATAAAGAAAACAATACCCTAGCTGACGTTTGCAAAAAGAGAACAGTTTTTAGCGCATTTTCTCATTTATGGAAAAAATGCACTATTGTGCTCGCCATGTCCGTCTGTCCGTCCGTCTGTCTGTCCGTAAGTGACTTCACGTTTTCGTCGACGAGATAATGTGCTCTCTGTCACTCATTGCAGTGAGTACTGAGTTATATTTTTTTCTTCAGTTACTGGAACTCTTACCTTTCGTTCAGACGTGGCAGAGAGCTTCTGTAGTCTGTTGGTCATGTTAGTGAGGCTGTGTTCGAAGGCTGCCACCACGTGCGCCTGTTACATTGTGATAATAATAATCATAATAAATATTACTATGTCATAATAAATATTACTATGAATGGAATGACTCTAGAGAAAGGCGTGTTAACCAAATTAGACTGTTCGAAGGCTGCCACCACGTGTGCCTTTTGAATTGTGATGTCATCATAAATATTTATATGAATGGAATAACTCTAGAGAAAGGCGTGTTAACGAAATGAGACTGAGTGAACATTGTGAAGCTTCTATTGATGATTAATGAATACAAAATGGTTGCACCATTATTGGGGATATTATTATTACATTTGATTAATTAATTGAACTACTTGTACGAAATAATTACATTTTTCGTTAACCACATCATAACTAAAATACAAGGGAGATGATAGTGAACACTTGTGAGAGCAATTCAAATAAACTTGTTGTATCTATAAAAAAATGCAACACATATAGTGTATATTTTAAAGACAAGTTTGTCGGTAGGAAATACAAAGAATCATGATAGTGCTCTTAAATACGTTAATCATTCTGCATGACGTTGCTTTTTAATGTCACTAGATTACTCGAATCGCAAAATCACTAAAAATTTATGAGCGAAGAAAATAATAAAGATTGGTTGAAGCCATCCCAGAGTACGCAGATGCACATCTTGCACAACTATATTTATAAACTAGGGACGTAGTGCGAGGATAACTATGTACTATGATAACTATGAAGTGCGAGGATAACTTTGTACCTGAAGAAAGGATTTATTTTAAATTATTCACCAATAAAATATGCAGATTAATGTTTGGAAAGTATTTCCTTCTAGCCTGGTGTTTACCCAAATTAAGAAATTCAAGTCCAAGCGATACAGCGAAGTTGTTCCATTGCCCGATAATAGGAACTATATTTGTAGTTATTTTCCATACTTCGGTCATGCATCCGAAGCTATGTCAAGAGAATTAAAAGATTTGTGTATGAAATACTTCTCAAACAGTAATCTTCATATTTTATTGGTGAACAATTTCAAAGTAGGTTCTTTCTTTAGGTACAAAAATATCCTCCCTTTTCATGAATCTAGTTGTACACGATGAGCATCTGCGTACGTTCGGCTGGGCTCACGCAATCTTTATTCTAGGGTCACCGAGCATAAAGGGATGAGTTGTAGGAGTGGGCAGTTACTATCGCGCCCTCGTTCGGCAGTGCGTACTCACGCCGAACAGCTTAACGTTTCAGTGCCTGACACTGACTTAAAAGGTTATAGCTTCTAAATCCCGCGCTTCCTATCTACGTATTTTTGAATTATTGCGTATTTGAATTATTGTATAAGAGAGGCACAGTTTAAATCCAGCCTTTAGCTCTTATGCTAGAAATTGTTATTAGGTAGTGCAATTTTAGGATTTAACTTTTGTGTTATTGACTGTATTAACTTCTGATTGCATCTGTAGCTGAACTTTGAAACTTTCTCAATAGAGATATTATGAATTTGTGTGGAGTTTTCTTCGTTTATAAATTTTCAGTGAGTTTACTTTTCGTGCTAATCGTGTTCTAGTGCTAATATTTCTGTGAGTAAAATAAATGACTAATCTGTAACCTTGCTAGTTATTATTTCTTTAAATTAATTAGAACATTTATAGCAAAAATATTACAACAGTGTAAATAAAATGAGGAAAAGCATGTTGTTATAAAAAAAATTCATTTGGCACTAACGTTTGTCGAGAGTTGGGAGGCGAGGGTGTGGACTCTGTCCTGCGCCTCAGCGAGGTCCTTCCTCAGCCGCAGCACCTCGAGGGAATGCTTGTCTTCCTGGCCGCTGTACAGCGAAGACGAGGACGATACCAATGACAACGATGACCCATTGCCTGCATTAATACGAGAGGTTATGAAAGATACGTACGTATATCATTAAATTGCTTGAATCGCAAGCTCATAAAAAATTTAAAAGCAAATAAAACGATTGTCTACCCGGCCCATGTAATGCGAAGACGACGACGAAACCAACGACAACGATGACCCATTGCCTGCATTAATACGGGAGGTTATGAAAGATAAGTACTTATATCATTAAATTGCTTGAATCGCAAGTTCATAAAAAATTTAAAAGCAAATAAAACGCTTGTCTACCCGGCCCATGTAATGCGACGACGAGGACGACACCAACGACAACGATGATCTATTGCCTGGATTAATACGAGAGGTTATAGAAGATAAGTACTTATATCATTAGCTTGCTTCAATTGCAAGTTCACCAAGAATTTAAACGCAAATAAAACGAATAGTAGTGGATAATATGGAGAATTAACTAGTATATACCCTATGACGATGTTGATACTCAGCTCTCTCTTTGTTTCTAAATTCCTGTTAAAAAACATACCGTGGACGACAAAAACATGATACAGAGGTCAAAGGGAAAATATCGTGTCACAGAAAACGAAAGACAAGGACTATTCGTGGTCTGGATTAATACGCGAGGTTGACGGAGAAATGTTGTGGAACAGAAATGTAATCTGGTCGATATAAATAAAAAAATTGAAACGGAAAGGTGATTCGATAACGTTGAATTGAAACATGAATATTTAATAGGTCACTAGGTTGTCGAAAATAGAGGAAGAATATTATAAAGTTGTGGCTTCGAATCCGAAAGTTTTAGGAATCAAAAATGCGGTAGTCATACCGACAAATTATTCCGACGACACAATCGCGAATCGGAGAAGAATTAAAGTAAGAAGTTCTGAAGTAAAAGACATCATTCAGAAAAACCCTTGATACGAGTTTGAGTTGATATATTCCTAATTGCTTAGGAAAGTATTCAAGCACATATTACCATAATTTTACACAAAAAAGTGTGTACCATGCATATTGTACAAATATATTGGTACAAAAGTTCATGTTTTTATACTCACAATCTTCCTCCTTGCCGCGCATCACAGGTCCAGCGTAGTATGGTGACCCGCGGGTCGAATTCAACGGGGACATCGGGATTCTGGGACTGGTCCCGCAGTAAGGGGGAGTGGGACTTGTGGGCTGGGACGTAATATACGCCCCCTTGTCTACGGGCAGTCCCCGAATGTTCATTGAACCGTCCACAACGTGGCTCTCGAGAGTCGCAGGTGAAGTGTTGGTCGAATATATTTTCTCAGATTTTGTGGACCTATTACAATAAGATAAAATAGCGTTCATGTTCAATTTCTCCGGCAGTTAAGATCAGTTTGTATTATTACTTGTATGACATATTTTTCAATGACAGACCTCCTAATGAGTTTATAGTTTGCAGGACCAGAAATTATTTGGATCTTCAATGATTCACGGATGATGATGACTGCATGCAGACGAGTGAAATTTGTCAAATTCACGTGAACAATTCAAATGAATTTATCAGCATTTGAGAAAAAAATTGCGAAAAAACTCAATGAAATTAGAGTTGAAAACAGATATTTTCGCGCTCGGGAGAGTAGTGCGACACAACACAAACTTTGATTTTTAAATTGTTTCTAAAAATTTTTAACGTGTGCAAAAGATGGAATGAAGAACTATCAAACTTCTCACACTCAAAAAAATTCTACTGCAGCAAATGTACCGCAAGTAAAACAACATTTTCGTTCATTTTAATATAAAACATCTTGATGCAAATTGCAATGCAGATTTTTAGTTTGTGAGCGCTAATGATTCATATATAGTGCATGTAGGAACAAAAATAATTTTTAACTTCACCAGGAATTTAAAAGCAAATGAAATCTCACACAAATTCGTCATTTCTTCGAGACATTTTCTTTTGTATCTTAATAGTTTTAGTTTTTTAGAATTTGAATGCGCAATCAGAATAAAAATTGAAAATTAGAATACAATAGATCGCATGTTAAAACAAGGAAAAAAAAACATTTACATTCTGGAGAAAAACAATGGGAAGACAGGCCAGTGCTGTATCAATTTTTTTTTTGATCAATATATGGTTGAGACTAATCTTCTAGAAACTTTCTACAGATTATACGGCAGCAATGAGAATAGAACAAATTAGAAGTTCCTGTCTTAACTTGTAGTGTCATAGACTTGGCCGAGAATAATATAATCGCATTATTTTGTTATGAAATGAAATTATTATTATTAAATAATAACAATAATATAAAAATGTTAAATTAGTGAAATATAAGTGGATTATAAAGAATTTTGCATGCCAATAAGGAAGATGCAATGTGCTCAAAGATAAAAAATTCTGGTACAGGCATAAAGCTGGTGATTGATTACTAAAAATATATATCATGCATAAACCAATTAGACCTCTTACAACTCCGAGCTTCAAAAGCTCATTATATTTAAAATAGATTACTTTCATCAAAATCAAGTTTGCATTTCCTGTAGTACTCGTATGTATGTGACTAGGTGGATACTGTAAGGTTCAAACCCGGAACCCAGACAGGAAACTGATGCGTTTTTTATCTTCAGTTTCAATTTTTATTAAATTTTAGTCAAAATTATTTAGGTAACAAATATTTCCAGTAGAAGGAGCCAGAGGATTCGCTTGGCTTGAACGTCAAATTCATACCTACCAAATTTTGTGACGATATTTAGAAGTTGATACGTATTTAATATGTCTGATAAGTATGACTATCGGATTAGCGTAATTTTTAAATAATTAAATTAGATTATTAAATAATTATTAAATTAAATTATTAAATTAATTAAATAAGTAAATTAAATAAATATAATATTCCTAAGCAAAAGAACAGAGAGAAAAAATTTCGGAAACGAGCTCATTGGTTCATGGAAAAATATTGCTGTAAAATTATCAAACAATGGCAGCAAGCGTACCTAGGATAGGTCCTCTCAATGAGGTGGCTGCGTGTAGGAAAGAAACGTCAAGTATGGAAAAAAGTAGTCAGAAAACATTCCGAATATTGATATAAATCAAATATTAATACAAATATTTCTACTCCGTTCTAACAAAAAAAATTGTTGTTAATCATCATAAAGCACACATATCTCACGCAAACACCAATAGATAAAAACAATTATTACAATAGTTTAGATTATTTCGAACGATGATCGTAAAATATCGATCAATCTTATAAAATATAAATAAGCTGTTTATAAATATGTATGAACAGCTGCTCACCTGACGCTGTTAGACCTGAGCAGAGGAGGAGGCTGTTGAGGCTGAGGCTGAGGCTGGTGCTGCGTAATGTCGCGCTGGTGACGCAGTAGCCGCGCCTGCGTAAGGCTTGATACGCCGGCGCGCGCAAGACCTAAACTCGCCGTGCTGCTGTTGACGCTCTCCAGGCTCTCAGCCTCGGTCATAGAACCTCCCCTGCAAAAATTGATTGATTTTTATCATCAGAAGGCACTTCGAATAACTGCAAAAGATTATTGTGAAATAAACCGTTGATTATTGTGAATCTAATCCATTGTTCCAAAAATATTTAGTTTGCATCGAATTGATTAGTTTAATGTTTTTAGGTTTCTGCCTCGGGCATTGAACCTCCTCTGCAAAAATTAATTGATTTCTATCATCAGATGGCACTTCGATTGACTGTAAAAGATTATTGTGAATCTAACACATTGTTCCAAAAATATTTATTTTGTATCGAATTATCGAATTGATTAGTTGCTGTTCTTCAAGAAAATCAGCTGCGGAATTTTTTTCTTTCTACTTCGATACCTACAAAGAAAATTTTTAATTCAAACTTTTTCGAAAAGCAGGCGCTATTTAAGGCTATGAAATATTTTATGTGAGCTCATTCCTCGCATTATTCATTTATTCCTATAAAACTGATCATCTTGATATCATTGCAAGATGCTGACAGGAATGAGTTGATTTTGAAAATTATTTTACTGAACTTACCAAGAAAGCCAACATTAATATTGAAAATTCCTTTTTCAATTTAGTCTGCTTTGATATTCATCAGGAAAAGCATTCTTAAAAGAACATACGTTTGTTTATACATACAGATAAACCCCTATAATTTTAATTATACCATGTAAGAAAAAATGTTACAAGTAATAAATTATGTAATCAGTCCTGTTAATTACCCCAGTTTAATATACAATTAAAAGAATAATTAGAAGCTGGTGAAAGATCCATGAAGACTGTCACCGAGGCAAGCAGCTCCCTCAACACTTAGAAGAGCAACGTACAATACTTTTTTTGACCCCCTACTGTACTTTCAAAACCTGGGTATGAGGCGATTATGAACATAATCGTAAAATACGTAATCGCGTTTAACATGATTGTAAAACAAATAATAATCGTTACATTATTCCGTACCTGTTGGGTGCAGATGCTACAGAGCCGGGGTAGTTGCCTCTAGCTCCAGCCCACATGTAAGGACTGCTGTACGGACTTGTGGTGTATTGAAGGTCGGTGTAGTTAGCATACGGGGAATCGCTTAAGGACCCGTCTGTAGGTTTTATACGGGGACTTCTCTCTCGGTAATACGGCGCTGCAAATGGGTTACTTACAGGACTGTATTCCGGTCCCATATGGACTTTGCCGTACGGGGACTGCATGATACGTTCCCGGACGTTCTGTGATAATTGGGCGGCGGTCGGACCGTTCAGTGAATATGATTTAACTTGGTATTTTCTACCAAGAGAATTTGACGAGTACTCTCCATCTGAATGTACACTGGAGTTGTGCGCTGACCCAGGCATATATGGAAGATCGTTGGTGGTGGTTTGCGTTCCTCCTGAAACTTTGATCTTTGTTCTAGGTCGCTCTAAACTATGACTAGAACCTTCCCTTCGAATATCATTGACAGGAGTTCCTCCGATGATGTTGGGGCTGTCCTGCCTTCTGCCAGCGCTGGAACTGGCCCGACTGTTGCTTCCTGTACTGGATACGCTGCTGACACTCGTGCGTTTGGAACTGTATCCGAAATTGCTGGGGGCGGTTTTCGGGTTTTGTAATTTGCGATTGTCGCCGTTAGTTTGCGGTGATACTGTTGACCTCAATGATTTTTCTGCTTCTCTTCGGTCGACGGGAATTTTTTGGCGCTCAGATTTTTTGGTTGCTGCTTGAGCTAAACCGACCCCGTTGTGAGCGGTAGAAACACTCGGACTGAACCCAAATCCAGGGTTGCTGGGAATACTGGGTGAACCCAGCACTCCAGGTTTCCTTTGTTCCAAACGACGACCAGGGTTGCTACCACTGGATTCCAAACACCCACGTTGCGAATCCTTGGAGGTGTCGACGTATTTTTTCCACTGGGTGTTGGAGATTTGCCTGCAAAATTTTATTTCTTTAGCCTAAATTATTATGTTTAGTATTATTCATGTAGAAGCAAATGTGAATACGAAGAATGAGAAATTTTGCACTATTGTATAAGAAAATGTGTGTAAGAACAGAAGCAGAGAAATTAATTTATTTTGAACATATTATTCAACAACATAACTGTTCATTTCTCTTGGGGCAAATTGAAAATAAAAACAACTCAGTTCAGACGAAGTTAAACTATAAGTTATTTGAGGAAAAAAATAATACGAAAATTAAAGTGGGCAATCTGACCCCAAAAATAATATCATATAATATGAAGAAGTGTTTTGCAAGGTAAATTATTTTCTCTTCATATTCATGCAGATATCTCACTTGAAGGCACTAGAGTCAGTCTGCTGTCCGCTTTCTGTCTTCTTAACCACATGGGCTTTGGATGAGACCACTTTGTACATGCGCGAAGACTCTAGACCCAGCGACGTCTTGCGAGACCCTCCAGACAGACCTACGGGGAGCTTCAGGCCGACATCTTTGCCTGCACGGTTCTGTGGAGCAGAAATTTCCTGTGATATGAAGCGAGAATAGAAGAGAATATCAAAAATAAAAAATATCGAAAAAATAAAATACATACCGGTACACGAAAAATACCAGAAATACCCAACCTAAATTTACCTAGGTTGCAATTCTTTACATAGGTAATAATCACTTTCGTGTATATATTGATTTGCACTTTTGATTATTGTTTTATTCTATGAAGAAGGAAAGGAGTTCTCAGAAATATTTTAGATTTCTCTGTATTAATAATATCAAGCATAAAAACTCATCTTACCTAAATCCCTTTCAAGACTACGAAAAGTTTCTTACGGTGAAAAACATTAATGAAAAAAAGGAAAATATCGCAAACTCGGGTAAACAACTGGGAGCTTTTTAAAAGCAATACTGCCATATATGAGATAAAAATTCCCGCATGATTCCTACATATCCTAAGAAATGAAGTGATTTTATGATAAGGAATCGTGTCAGTTAAACCTTTTGAACTTAGATGCCCTAGCACATATAATATTTCGATGAAAGTAGAAGGGGAATAATATAACAGAAAAAAAAACTTTTACAATTTATCAAGAAAGACAAGAAGGAAGTAGCCAAGAAAACCAGGCACGATAATTTGTCGCGAGTAATCATGGAAGTTCCCAGGGAAAAAGATAACAGGGACTGAATTTGTCAAGGGAATACATTTGCTTCGACGATGAAACTAATACAAATGAACTGCAATATACAGTAGATAAAAATATGCAATACTTTCTGCGAGTCGAACCCAAGCCGAGTTCAGTTAGCTCAACTTCCACGTGGCTGCGATTAACGGAAAAACTCGCATCCGACAAAAAATTGTGAAGAAAAAAAGTCCCGTTTCCGTCGTTTATTCAACAAAAAGAGTCGTACATGCCCAAGAATCTGATTGAAAAAAAAACGCCTTTTGTTTCCTCTCGCGTTCATTTATATTTACATTTTATATATCGGTTTATTTACATTCGGCTTCTTCATCTTCTAATAAAAACTATTCACAAATAATTCAGATGGAATAATAGTTGAAGTGATTCTTTGAACAAAACAAATATAAACGTAAATCCGGAAACTGTATATTTACTTGCAAACCAGAACTTTGCCAAAAAACGTGTTAAAAGCACCCGTCTGGGGTTATTAAATGGACGCACAAGCTAGTTCGTCAGACTGATGCACAGAGTTTGACCAACTGATGCAAACAGATATTTGTTGCACAGTAGAACGCACAAGAGGCCTGTTCTGATGCACATAGTTCGTCGGACTGATGCAAACAGATATTTGTTGCACAGTAGAACGCACAAGAGGTCTTGCCTGATGCACATATAGTTCGTCGGACTGATGCAAACAGATATTTGTCTTACAGTAGTACACACAAGAGGTCTTGCCCGATGCACAAAGTTCGTCGGACTGATGGAAACAGATATTTGTCTTACAGTAGAACACACAAGAGGTCTTGCCTGATGCACATAGTTCGTCGGACTGATGCAAACAGATATTTGTTGCACAGTAGAACAAACAAGAGGTCTTGCCTGATGCACCAAGTTCGTCGGACTGATGCAAACAGGTATTTGTCGTACAGTAGAACACACAAGAGGTCTTGTCTACTGCACATAGTTCGTCGGACTGATGCAAACAGATATCTGTCGTACAGTGGAACACACAAGAGGTCTTGCCTGATGCACATAGTTCGTCGGACTGATGCAATAGGAGTCCCAGGCTTTAATTAAGCGTCAGGACAAAGGCATCAGGTGGGCAGTATTGAGCGAAGTATTGATCGATTGACGCTCCTAAACATACGACAACTGCAAGTGCTAAAACACCTGGGGAAAACAGTACGTGATGGACCAAACACGTTCATTTGTGTTCTTGAACATTATTAACACGGTGCTTCTTCTATGTTTTCTTTGGTTTTCATGTTATTTATCACATCGGTTATTCGTTTATTCTTCTACGCAATTATTTTTCATGTTTAACGCCTAAAAATTTTCAATTTCATCTAATGCTAGTTAAATTTATCTCTGTAGAAAATCAGATGCGTTTTTCCACAGGTAGAAAGCACTGAAAAACATAATACACTCAATCTTTTTGCAACGTCTTATTAGAAAGAAAAAGACATAATTTTTTCGCAGATAATTAGATTAGACTTATATATTTTTTTTAATAGAACAAAATAGTGGGTGGAAAGATCATACTTCGAAAAGTTGATAAATAAGGGCTACCATAACAGACACGTACAAACAGATTTTCTTTTGTAGCCGCATGTTGCAGTCAATATGCATGTACTAAAAAACACAAGCAAAGTAACACTGATAAAAAAAATAAATTTTGAAACCACGTTAATAGGTAAAATGTTGTAACTAACGATCGGTATTTATTTAATTTTTAACAAATATATACTGAACTCATCGAAGATAAAACCAACTATGCTCATCTTTTTTTCGAAGAAAAACTTCCTTTAAAAATACATATAAATTAAGAAGTATCAAAGATCGCGAATTTCAAATATAATTCTGCGAGTTTCAAACACGACAACGCGCAATCAGAGCTTCAGCAAAGACGAGAAGTCAAAGGCGATAGAAACTCGAACAAAACCTGGTCATTAATTGTAAATATCAATCAAGGAATCAATCAGTCAGTGTATACATTTATTGTTCCATTTATTATTGTTCCAGTTATTATTATTGTAGTGTTAACTACACCATTTAGTCTTGTTTAAATAAACTGTTAATGGTTGATATGAGAGTTTCAAGGAAGGTACCTCACACGAGTGAGAAACGAGCCTGAGCAAGCAACTAGCTTCATTACACGTTGTATTATGTTCATTTGCAAAGATAAGATACATCAACCGTGTAGCTCAGGACAATGTTATTAGTAACTTGCAGAGTGGGAAGAATAAAAAATGATAGAAGCATCCAGAATGACTAAAACAAATATTACACGCTTTGGGCATTAAATATCTAATGTAGCAGAAATTTGATAAACAAACACAGTCATGACGTAAAAATTCAAAATTTCTAAAAAATTTTTATTCAGCAATATCAAAATCCTAATCTTAAGTTGAACAAAAAAATTAGTATATCTGCAATATCTCGAAGCACTGCCGTTACATAAGAACACAGAGTAACACTACAATGGTTTCTGGAGCTATGAAGACTGGGCGACTTAAGCCCATTTTGGGCAGTATTGCCATGCACGGTGACCGTTAATCTCTGTCATTCTCTACTCTCACAAAATTTAAAGAAAAGCAAATACAGGGAAATGTCTCTTCAAGGGCACAAATCTTGGAGGCCGGAGGGATCGAGTTGTATAAAATTAATTCAAGGTAAGGGCGTGTACGAGGATGGTTTGAAATTTAATTCCGAAAGCGTTTCGTCCGAGAAAAATACAATAATATAATGCCACCTTAAAACCGAGAATTGACGGACATATTACTTGATACTTTCTGTTACTAAAGAGAAAGTCAATACTGGAGCCGCAAAATTTTTTGCGCCGGAACGTGAAATTTGAAAGGACTCTTTTCCGCGCGATATAACAAATAATCTCACTATTATTATCCAAAAGGGCAACTGTACGAAAAAGGTGAAAATTAAAGTATCTCATTATTTTCCAAGAACAAATATGTCAAAAATTCATAGATTTATAAATTTTTTCCTTGTTGCCAGCACTACCTCGCCAGGATTTGATCCCTTTGGGATTTGTAGCGCGAGATTCAATTCAAGTCGAGCCGAGGATGGAGATACAAAAGTTAACACTAGTTTATAGGTTTAGTCGGGCACTGCTTACGAGTTAATGAAACAATATTGCATTGCGTCTATTTGAAGTTAGTAGTGGTAGGTGAAAATGAAATAGGAATAAAAATCAACGAGAGGAAGTGTAGAAAAAATATTCGTAAAATGTGCAAATTTTGAAAATATAAAATGGAAATTTAACAGAAGTACTTCGTCATTGAAGTGAATATTGTTGAAGCAAGGATCTGAAAGATATAGCTTGAACAGTACAATAACGCATTGGTGATGAACCTGCTGATGCAAAGCAAATATTTTCGTCAATACAGATCAATTATACATTTTATTCGTAGACTGGCGGGAAAATCACCACGGCGAAAGGATTTATTTGTACAAAAATTATCTATCGCTTCTCCGTTAGCAGAGATCATGACAAAGCATTTCTTTGCTCTTTTTCGTGCTTACAACCGTTGAGTTCGTAAAAGACGACGTGATAGAATGGTATAAACTGCCACAAAAGATGAAATCAAAATGCAGAGCAAAATTGGCCAGCTTGAAAATAAGAATTTGAATTATCCTATGGTTTAAATGAAAATAACCTAAGAGACAGAAGAAGCACCTAGAGCGGCTTCTGGTAGAACATTTTTTCTCTGTTGTTTCAAATGTCAGAGAGGGGCGATGAACCCGGCCTCCCACGCTGCTGATGCCAATCCAATGTAATTGTGGAGGCAATAGAGCCGAAACATCAAAGGCAAACGGACTTTCCCAGAAATAAAATTTAAAATTCCGAACTGAAATCCGAGTGACAAACAAGTGCCGACAGCAGATAAGAATTTGAATGAAACAAGAGCAAAAAGAGAGCTGATACGAGAGGAGAATGTTATTTAGCGAGTGGATTCGGGCAAATAAAAACCCACTTAAATGAGTCAAACATAAAAGAACGCATACACATATGAATATTTTTACGAGACAAACTCGGCGATTCATTCTCCCAACAAACAACGTTTATACAGACAAATTATTACAATGGTTCCATTCATTTCACATGAAAAACGAATTCTGATAACGCGGCAGTGATTTAAGTTCTCGACCATAGGACCAGACTTTCTCACAATTAATGAAACAAGTCGTCAAAAACAAAAAAGTAAAATAAATTAAAGAAACAAGTCGTCAGTCCGCAGTCATGAGTAATAAACAGCATACGTGATGAATATCACATTCACGAATGCTGGACCGCACGATGAAAAAGCCTTTATAAGAAATGGCGAAAAATTCGAATAGAACTCAGTCTTCTAAATATGAGCTAAATGAATGGATATCGCTGGAGATTGAGAGTCATTAAAGTAAAGTTTAGGAGATCAGCAGCCCCGCTAGAGGAGATTACGAAGACTTGATGAAAAAGTTCCAAAATCCGATCAGCGACAGAGATGAAAGTCTTATGGTTAATAGAAAACGTAAAACTAATGTCAACTATTTATTGGTCCTTTAGAGAGTTAATCATTATATGGTTTAATTAACTATTCTTCGATTCTTCCTGCGTAATGCAGTTTTACAATAACATTTTTTAAATAAGCACATTAAGAAGTCTGAAAGATATTAATGGCATACCATTCATTCAACCTGCAATTAAAGGATGGAATTAATTATAGCACGACGATGTATGTATCTCCAATGATAAGTGTTGAGCGCAACAAATTAAGAGTAATGCAGACACATCAGCATTTAAATAACTTTCTCATGGGAATGGAAACCCATGCAAGGATTGGTTTATTAAATAGTTTGATAAATTTGATAATTATAAGGAAAATATTAGAGGCTTGAAACCAGCAAATCGGAGTTATTTCCGTAAGTAATCCTCGGACAGCAAGTTTCCCGGAAAATTTCGGAAAAAAAAACTTGGGGCAGCATTGGTTTCATGAGAATTTGTACGCAACCGTATCTATATTTATTTTTAATGTAAATATTTTCCTTGAGGGTAAATAAATTTACTATGGGTGATAGGAAGTTTTTTGTCACCACATTTAAAAATCTACCTTTCGAAAAAGTGAGCATACTTCTAGTGAAAAAAATGGTAACCTAATATTATTTATATTACTTTGGGTAGCTTCTAAGAATACGACCGACTTGCGGACTCTACTTTATTATCCAAAGTAAATAAGTACCGAACATTGCAAAAATATTTCCATGAACTGAAAAAGAAATAAAATGAGCGCGATGGAGTACGGAGAATTACTATAGATGCTCTTTCCACTTCAGTAAAAATTGAATTTCCCTTTTGCAAATAAAAAGAACGACAATGCTTTGAGATCATTTTCCTCCCATGAGAACAGGGAACAGACTTTTTCAACGATATTTTTTCCTCTTCGACGACTCTACATAGAAAGCAAGGGAACCTAACTTCTAACTCATATCGAAAAGATTAACAAGAGACACTGAATCATTTTTGAAATTATTTGTATGACCCGGAAGATTCCATGCATTATGAAAATAATGTCTTAATGGATTTTAGAAACGATCATAATTCCGTTTAAATCATGCGAAACATTTCAAAACGATATTGCAGCAGAAACACTCTTATCTACAAGTATGAAATCCAGTGGTTACAATGATATGCTTAAATTTAAAATTATTATCAAAGTTGACCTTAGACTTTTTCGACGCAGAATCCTCGAGCCTCGCGGAGAACTTTTACTATTTTAATATATGCTGGTAGTTTGGAAAGCTTTATTTCGTTGAACAAAACTAACAGCGATGAAGTTTAGCGATAAAATTAGGAATAACTTTACAGAACAAAGAAAAACATCAATCGAGACCGTACGGCAAGCGATGCCAAACAACGCAATTTTGTCTTTAGAGAGGGCAATAGAGAGATAAATACCATATAAATACAATATAATGAAAACATTTGTGCAAAACGACTTTGATAGAGGGACGGGCACGAACAAAAAGGCAGCCCATACAACCAAAATACAACGAAATTGTATTCTATTGAGTAAAGAATCTAAAAGAGTTCAACATCATCAGCATTCAGATTCTTATTACATTTCAGATACAATGTCGGTTGACTTCTGTGATAGCGATTTCAATATCAGTTTATTATGATTATTGTTATTCTGTAGCAATATTTCTGGGAAGTTAATGAAAAGCTCTAGGCGCAGCTCACTCAAAAATTCGATGATAAATAAAGAAACAATTTTATTCCATTCTGCAATTTTTCGTAACATAGACGACTTGAAGTATTTCCATACTGGAGCGCTCCAGGCTAGGCTACTATAGGCAAGACCGTGTGGTGCTAAGCATTGCTTATGGAGTAATTCACCCTACCGTGCGGTGCTAAGCATTGCTTATGGAGTAATTCACCCTACCGTGCGGTGCTAAGCATAGCTTAGTACTCTTAGTACATTACTTAGTACTTAGAGTAACTCACCCTACCGTGTGGTGCTAAGCATTGCTTATGGAGTAACTCACCCTACCGTGTGGTGCTAAGCATTGCTTATGGAGTAACAAACCCTACCGTGTGGTGCTAAGCATTGCTTATGGAGTAATTCACCCTACCGTGTGGTGCTAAGCATATTGCTTATGGAGTAACTTACCCTACCGTGTGGCGCTAAGCATTGCTTAGTACTCTTAGTACATTACTTAGTACTTAGACTAACTCACCCTTGCGTAGGTGGTGTCAGGCAGAGGGGTGAGGGGGGCTAGGGGGGCGAGGGGGTCGTCGCCCCCACAAACTTCGTTCAGAGAATCACTCACGCCTGAGCTCAGGCTGCTGCTGTCGTCAAAACTGCAAAATAAAAAACACTTTTTAAAATATTTTTCAAGTTGAAAATTTTTGATCAAATTATTTTATTAAAGAAATTTAGTTCATATAGTATATTGTTATATTGAGAAGATGACCAACGTATTTCGGTTTTTCTTTAAACAAGTGAATTTTAAAAAGGGCAAGTAGCATAGATCATTGTGAGCAAGATGTAAAATCACCGTTCGGCTCATATAAAAAAATGTATAAAAACATAACATTTATTAGTAATAATTTTCAACAGGAATAGAATAATTGTACGATTCATGTAATGTCGAAAAAATGATAAATTTACATGTAAAATAGATTAGGCAATTCAGTAACTAATTTTTCTACAACATTCTACAAGGTGAGAGATAAAATACGCTTGGAAGTTAAGAAACACAAACTTCAACATTATGAAACACAATAGAAAAAATACTGAAGAATCACACATTTAGATAGAATCAAACTTGTGCATAAAAGCTTTCTAATGTGAATATACGGTGCAAAAATAAAAATAAAGTTGTGCAAAAAACGTATGAATAAAAAATTGCAGATAAAAAGGTGAGAGGTACACTGTTACCTCTAAATTACCTGAATAACATATGAATAATATATATAAATAGTCCAAACAAGAAAATACACAAAACAAAGTTCTTCTCTTTTATACACCAATTATAATGGCCAGAGAAAATAAGTCGTTCATGAAAGCAGTCTTAAGTCAATAAATCAGGTCTTAAATACAGTTGAAAGCAAAAAAAAAAAAAATTCAACCATTTGAAATTTCAAAATTTCAACCATTCAAAATGCACAGGATATATTTTAGGCTTGTTGTCTTGAAAAGACGGAACCTAAGTTTTATGAGCCCGAATAGAAAAACCTCATGAAATTTTGAGTTAAAAATAACCTTATTGTTGATCTGTTGTATACCACAAAAAGCGTATAAATGCAGATGCATCCTAAATTTTCTGTTGTCTGTTCCCCAGAACTAAATTAGATTTGTAGTTCCGTTGCAAGGTCGCTCAGTCTTGGGAAGGCCATGAATAAGCGAGAAGGCGAGTCCGAATTTTGGTTTCAAACAACAAAACGAATGCATTTTTGTGCTATAAAATGAGCTGAAAACGTGACGCTGGGGAAAAATACGACGACTGAAATTTAATATCGGACTTTGTGCAGGTGCCGAAACGCTCCCACTGCGACGGCGGAAGAAGTTCATGGATCGCTAGGTTATGCTCAGACAAAACTTGTTTATTGCGGAAAAAAGTTTAAATCGTCGTCGGAAAAAAATGAAGAAAGTATAGTGTTTGCTGAAAAAACTTTTGTAAAAATTCCAGTCGTATGATAAATTGTAATTAAAGCGCTTCAGGAGTGATTAACTCAATCCAACTTGCATGAAACATCAAAAATATCTCATCAACAGATTATTAAAGTGTACGAAAATGATGGAATGAGCGATAACTCGTCAAAAATCACAAAGTATGAGAGGTGCACAATTATAAGTTATAATATATCGTGCGCGTTATCATGTGTAAGCAGAGAAAAATTATCAAGTGATCGCTTATCGGTTACGAGCTAATTATGATATTAGGATACAATTATGAAATTAAGATAATAATAATAACTTATTAATTAGCTTTAATATTTCTTCCCACTGAAATCGCAGAATATTGACCACAGTAATAATATCGATGGTCTCAGTCCCGAGAAATTTCTCTTCCTGACCCTAAACCTTCCTTAGAAATCCAAAACCTTCACACAAGAGCCCCACGCAATCAGTGGCAGAACATGGCTAGAAAGGAGCAGCTTTCGTTTTTTTTAAGAAGTCGTTTAAATTAAACGTCGTTTAAGCGACGTAATATAATATAATATAATATACTATAATGCCTTAAAAGAAGTCAGTCAGAAGCCTCCCTCCTCTCTACATGAGAGGAGCCACTATAAAGCCTCATAAGAACAGAAGAACAGTAATTATATACGTGATAACACGGATAAACCATAGCGCCAAATTCATATTAACAAATAAAATCATTCTTTAAAAGCACAGGTGTAAGGGAAACAAAATTTCGATTCACATATACAAGAATAATTAAAGATAATGAATTAGTAACTAGTGTCAAGACTAAGAAGTCTATCGATGAATATTGTAGCAAACTTGTTCGACGACGATATTCATTTCTCAGCAGCATGACTACAAGAGAAATCTTCATTAATGTGTTATTACGTCAATGTCGTGAAGGCCCGTGATGGTGTTCTTGTCGTATAGAAATACGATAGTCATTAGTGAGCATGGCTTAGCTGACGGCCGAGAACAAATTGCTTTAATTAAGTTAAACCAGCAAGGTACAAATACAGTACGCCAGCATGAAACTCTTGCCATTACTTGAAAAATTAAAACAAACCTCCTTTTTGTTTTTTAAATTACGCTAAAACTTTCCAGGAAATATTTGTGGAGATGAAGTTGGGCTTGCTGTCGTTAACTATTGTAATATGGAGCCTTAAGCCAAGCACAATTTAATCAGCAGTAGGAACTACGGCTCATTTGGTAATGCTGAATTGAAACGTATTACCTTTTATTTAGGATCGCAAAATCGTTGCTTCGTGCGCCTCGTCCGAAATGGATTAATTCAATACGTAATTGGGACGACGGAGGGCAACTAAGGAAATACATTGAAAATATATTTGACCCCGCTGCATATGCACATTGCTCAGTTTAAGACTGTAATATTAGCACCTCGTGGCATACTGCACAAAAATTTGCAGCCTCTATATACAGCTTCAAAAAGTACATATATAAAAACACGGCTGTGCAAAAATTTTGTGAGGTTTGTATTAACCGTAAATTTTCCTGTTAACCCACTTCTTCGTTCGATAATAACATAGTCGACTGGACCAGATTACTTCACCAGGGCAACCATCGACCCAAATGTCGTATGAATTATTGGGCTAACATCTACAACGACGGACGCATTATCAATTTTTCAAATAAAGCTCTGTGCAGCCGCTTAATTATTCATTGCAGCACGCACCTTCGGAAATAGGGGGATATTTACCAGAATTCTACAATAAGTATAGCGCCATTAGCATCTTCAAAACATAATCGTGCGAGGCTGTTCAATCATACATGAAGGTGAAGGAAATTTCTAGATCCAGTTTCACTGCTTTTCATGGTACACGAAGACTTTGGGGATAATAAACAATTTTTAGTAGTTATTATTTTTTTATACCGCCAAAGCTTTTACAGCCTAACAACAGACATTCTGTTGCCACGCGCCACCCGTCTGCTAACAGTGGCCGACCATTACATTCAAACTATATAAACAATGACTTTAGGTGCAAATTATTAGCGCAATAATAAAGATATACTGGGAATAATTGTGCATATATTGGCCAATCAAAGTCTAACGGTGGCACTTGGTGGTGCGCGAAAACTATGCTTGACATCATTTAGTGGCACCCCGCAACAAAAATTTATGATCGCCACTAGTTTATAATATAACTGATTTTTGTGTGAATACGTGAACAATGCAAACATTAAATCTTTTTGTGAGTGTGCGTGTTATTCGAACATGACTCATTGTCTGAGAAATTTATCATGGTCGTAAATACATTTTTGGACATGAGAATATTTTCAAATAAATCCAACAGCCAGAACCGAATGAGAATAAAAACAAATAAAAAATTGACTTTTTACATATAATAATCGAGAACGCAAATAAAATTGTGAAGAAAACCCGTAAAATATTAGTAGAAGATTTCTTAGTAGCAATAATTAACTCTCAACGAGAAACTTTGTTAACTCGAAAGTTTCGTCATAAAGGAAACTAACTAAATTGAAGGATGGCGTAGGGCTTAGAATAAATTTTCAAAGCTTTTGACGGAAACCTGACCGAAAAGTCCTCAAAATTTTTCCGGAAATTTACGATGAAATCTGTAACATGACACTTGAATTTAATTTTATAGGAAGACAATAATTTTTGAAGATTTGGGATTTATAAAGAGCAAAGCAGAAGTCATAAACTTAGGATACCGAATAAACTTAGGATACCAAAGACCTGTATTCGCTTTTCAAGACGAAGAAATACGTTTATTGAAATAATAATCGGTTGGGAATAAATTCACATCGAATGCCCATATTTCAGAACAATGAGGATTATAAAAAATATTTGTTGTATGAAAGACCGGATAAAAACATTCATCAGAGACGAATGCGAAAGCGTTAAAAACCGAGGCAAATAATTATTCAACTTGTGGAATTTTGCTGCAGTTCAAAGTTGGTGGGTTGGTGATTGCCGTCAACTCTTCTTGAGATGGATGGTTGTGATGGCGGGCGCACTGGATGCAATGGTGATGAAGCCATTAAAACTTGAGATGTGAGTGGAATACCACGAGAGTTTTATCTCTTAGAATAGTAGGAAGGAAAGACGGCGAAGTAAATGGAGAAAATTATTAAGGGAAGAACGAAGTTTTGGATAAATAATCAAAATTATAATTAATTTAAGATAGCTTTGAAAGAAAAGTATATTCAGACAATGAATAAATGAACCAGTAATGACAAAATCGCAAATATAAGATGAAAAACTAATTGCGGCATAGAAAATTAAATTTTACATCTGGTAAAGATGAAATAGAGGGTGACTTTAATTACGACGCGGATGAAACATATAGAAAAATATTGACAGTGCAACAATAACCAAATCATTCACAATTGCTCCAAACAACTCGAATGAAATATTCAAGAAAGAAAACGAATCTTTCGTTAACAGTTTAGCATTAGTGTTTCCAAAATAGAAACTATCAATCAAAATATTCATGCGACAAGAATTTTTTTTATTTTGATTTGAAAGAGATTCATTTAAACGCCAAAAAAAAAGAGAATTGACACAGCCATTTCAAATCATTTCTGAGAAGCAGAGTTTCGAAATTGAAAGAAACCAAGTAAACATGCAAAGACTGGAAAACAAAATGATACTGGAAAATGGATTAGGAAAAGAAAAAAATCTAGA